GGAGGGGAGATGGCTGGTGGGAGAAATTGCTCCCGCCGCCGGACGGAGGAGCGGTGAGGGTCGCCGAGGCCGCTCTCCCGCCCCCGCCGGGGGCTGCTGGGGGTAGGGAGGAGCTGCCGGTGCCGGCCCGGGATGCGCTCGGGGAGGAGCGCTGGGGAGGCTGCCCCCTCCCCGGCCTGCGGCCCCGGGGGAGGGGGATGGCGGGGGGGCGGCGCAGGTAGCTCTCCCAGCGGGCGGGACGAGGAGGGGAAGCGGCAGGGCAGGGCAGGGCAGGACAAGGCAGGAGGAGCCCCCCCGCTGCCGCCGCCCCCTTCCTCGGCGGGGCCGTGCCTAGCGCTGGCCGCTCCTCCGCAGCCGCGGTCCGGGCCGAGGTGAGCGGCGCCCCGGGGATGCCGCGTCCCGCCGGAGCCGGGTGAGCGGCGGGAGGGCTCCTCGCCGGGTCTCTTGGTCTTTGCAGCCCCGGGAGCGGCGGGGAAAAGGGACTTGATCTGAAAGGGCGAGTGCAGCCCGGGGGGCGCGGGGTCGGGTCCGCGGCGGGCAGCGCCTGTCCCGGCTCGGCCGGCTGCCGGGCCGCCCCTTCGGAGCTGCCAAGAGGTAACGTGCGGGTGCTTGCGGGCCATCTCCCTCCCGGCCGGTCCGGAGAGGCTGGGGGGCGCCGGGGTGGGGGGACTCGGGGGGCTGGGGACACCCCTGACCCACCGCGACGTCCTGTAAACTTGAGCAGGACGGGGGAAGCCGCGGCTCTCCTCGGGAGAGCTCTGCCGGCTGAAGAAGGCACCGTCCCCGGTGTCTGGTCCCTGCGAGGAGCGCGTACGGCTCCGCCTGTCAGAATAAACCGGGCTACGCGCGGAATTGTGCTTTTACAGCTCCGGTCTTGTGACTTATTGAACACTTTCTTGAAGTGTTTTCTCTGGAAACTTGTCTCAAACGAGGGCTGTGAGCCCTAACAAAGAAGGGTGTTGTTCGGGAGCCAACAGGTGACGGGGGTGAAACCTGAGTCTGTGTGTACATTGGAGTAAAGTCTGGCTGCTGTTTAAAATAGAATTTAAAAAAAAAAAGTCAATGGGAGACTGTAAAAGGCAAGGTTTCTTTCTTTCTAAATCTGTACCCCCTCTTCAGGAGAGGGAAGGGGGAAGCGGCCGTGAGAATCCCGCTCCCTGGGCTGGAGGTTTGGTCCTTGCCCGTGTCTCCGGCAGCGCCACAGGGCGCCGGGCACAGCGCATCCCCAGCGGCTGCGTGGGCGTGGGGCGACGCTTTGTCACGCTGCTTCCTCCTTTTGTTAGCGCAGGTAGCCTGGCCTTACGGCACGGCTTGTCAAAAGAAAATACCCCGAGAAGGAGCCTTCGACTTCCAGCTGGAAGAGCGACTTATGTGCTAGATGAGGAAAGCTGTGCACTCTGCTGTCGGTTCTTGTACGCTGGCTGACAAAAGGGGAAAAAAAAAAAAAAAGTTCTTGTTTTACTTGTAGGGTTCATCTAAATGTCTGTTGAACGAAGAAATATACAGGCTTTCTTCCTCCTTACTCTCTGGGTAATTCAGTTACTCGATGGACCCAACAGCTAAAGAAGTCGCTGTGTGCGGGTGCTGAGACAAATTCTGCTCATCAGCTCCGGGTCCAGATTTCCCCGGGACAGAGCTATCGATCTGTCTGTAAATAACGTTGTCTTGTACTGTGGGTAGGGGAGTTTCTGATCATTTGCTGCCCAGGGAGGTGGTGGAGTCCCCTTCCTTGGAGATTTTCAAGACCCGCCTGGGTGCAGTCCTGAGTAACATGCTCTAGCTCTAGGCAATCCTGCTTCAGCAGGGGAGTTGGACTAGATGATCTCTATGGTCCCTTCCAACTCTAAAATTCAGTGAAATTCAGTGAAATTCCAGTGAAAATAAGTTATTTTATGGTGGCTTATTGCTTCTGTATTACACCCTTCCTCTTCTAATGTAGTTATCATGCACCAGGGATTAAACAAGCAGGTGAATGGGCTGGCCATGCTAATCTTAACTCGTTGAGCCTTCATTGTGAATGGATGCATGTGATATGCATCTTGTATCCCCTATAGCCTTGTTAACAAGCCTCCTAACAAAAAAGTTGTTAAACAATTTGCCCTGCAGGACAGAGTAAAACAGCAGGGGATGGGCAAGGAGATGTTTGTCTGACTGTGCTCACAAATCATGACCTCTTCTATCTGGTCAGGGGTGAACATAATCAGTGAGCTGGAAATCCTTCGTACGGAGTTCTGCAATAGCTTTGCCCTGAGTTTGATATCCTCATGTTTTATGTACCCGTTGGTTTGTAATTAGGAATATAGTTTGTTTTCGCTTCTAAGAACTTTTTCATAATCTAGTCAGTTTAATACATTAACAGAAAAAAAAAAAACACCCTATGAATTGCTTTTCTTTTTAAATCAAATTTAGCTGTTTAATCCAATTCTGTTATTCATAGTTGTCAAGCTGCCAGTGAAATACCTCCTTGTTAGGCTATGTAGCTTTTTTTGAGAGGTAGTATTTTGAGCCGAGCAGAAACCTCAAAATGTTCCACAAACTTTTAAGAAAGCAAAACAAAACATCCTTGCTGTGTTTTGTAGATGTCATGGCAGGAGTAGAAAGACCACCTTTCTACTCATCCCTCAGAAAGCATGTATTTTTTCAGCTGTTGTTTATATTCATTTGAATCCTCCTTAGGATGTAATCATTTTAAACAGCTCACTTTGAAGGAGGAGTGCAGTTGGGGGGCGGGGAGGAAGAACCCTGTCGTTTTAAAATGCAAACCAAATTACATTTGAGCAGGAGAGGAAGGAGAACTCCTAAACAAGCAATTGCTAAAATAGTTGTGCAGATAGCCTGCTGTTAAGCTGGGCTGGTTTAGAAACCTCACGCTCAGCAACACCACCATATTTGTGACATGGCCGTATTGATAGATGGTGTCCTGTCAGCCGTTTTATAGCTGGTTTGGCATTAGCTCTATGGCAGCGTTTTTCTTTTAAAGTGAATTCTGTCCTTTGAGTAATCTCGGCTCATTGAGATTTATGAACCTCGCTTTAAACATTTCCAATTGCCTTATCTGGGGAGGAGCACCCTGACTGTAAAGTTGCATTTTACAGTTGGAGGTGGGGTGCATTTTTCTTTTATTCCCGACCAGCCATACTTTCAACCTGTCCTGGATCACCGGGAGATCAGGTCTGTGGTTTTAACTTGTTGGAGTTGGAGCGTGTGCTGTCTGAAACGGATGGGCCAGAGGTTGCCCTGGCAGGATCAGTCTCTGTGGAAAAGCAGCGTGGTCTCTCTGGTACTAACGCTTTGTCTTCCTTTGGAATTAGGCAACACTCCTGTGCTTACACACCTTTGCTAGAGTTGGAATCCCAACATTAGCCAGCGCTGCGTTTCGCCACGTAGAAGTAACATGTAGCCTTAGCCATCAGAGATCCTCAGGAAAGTTAACAAGCCCGCATGCGTTCAGATTTTGGGTTGTTTCCTTGTCTTTCAAGGAAAGAAAGTCAATCAGAGAAGTTATTCTTCGACCTTACTGAGAGAGGTTTTTGAGCAATCAGTATGAAGCAATTACTCAATCACCCGTGTGCTTGTGGGCGCTGGGTGTTGTGTGAGCGTGAGCTGGACGGAGCACACCCCACTCTGGTGCCCGGGGGCTGGCAGAGCTGAACCCATCCCTCTGCCTAAACTGCATTTCAGATCTGCTGCCTGTGGTGTGGTTGAGGTCTAAGGAAATGTTGGCAAGGGGGTTTAATCTCGTGACTCCTTTTACTCCTGGGTTATCGGGCAGGAGTCAGTTCTTTCTTGCAAAGTGACAGTCTGACCAACACATGTGCTTGTGTTGCAATGCCTGAGGAATTGGAAGTACCAGCGTAGGCGTCAGCGAGTGGCACATCATTGGAAACCAGGTATCTACCTCTCTCTGAAGGGAAACTGTAAAACAGTTCATCTGCTGCTAAGATCATCTTGGAAGGACTTGGGCTTCTCAATGATACTCATAGTGATTTTATACTTAAGAATTATTTGGGTGTAGATGACGCAGAACACGAGCTGCCAACCTGGGCATCTCCATCTGTCTGCAAGAGTGAGAACTCTTGCCTTTTCTGCTAGCAGTGATTTTTTTAACTGCATCTCAGTATTCCTCCATCCCTCCTCCCTGCCCCCCAGTTTTATACAAACAATAACAAAAGCCATGGTTGACTTCACTTCCACTAGAACGTGAAAAGGGTAAACAGTTTTGCGTCGCTTGTCTTATTATCTGTTTCTGAAGGAAATTCATTCAGGGGATCTAGTATGTACCAGGATGTCTGTCTTTATATTTTAAATACACAGGATTGAGCTTCTAGGACTGAGTTTAGTTTTACTCGCCTTTCTTGACAGAGGTTGTAATATGGTGATGGTAAGCTCAGAAGCTGTTTTGCTAACCTTCAGTTGTTCAGCTAGAGTAAGATCTCAGAAATCTGCCTGACAGCTGACAAGCTTTGTGGAAACAGACTGGGGAGGGGGGCAGGTTTGCTTGCCCCATCAAATATTAAATTAATCTTTTATTACATTGTGGTTATGCAGTGTAACAGAAGTGTGTTGGCATCTTAGCCGCGCACCAAAAATAGTGCATGTGTTTTCAAACCAGAAGTTCTTGGAGGAAAGTTAACAAACAAGTCAACTTTTTTGAGCACTCGCCCAGTGGAGGAGTTAAGTAATCCCAACTGTTTTTATTGGGTGTGGGAATGTATAGACTTATTGAAAACGGGGTTAGATAGACTGTGTAATACCAAATACCATCATTTTTCCAAGCTTGCAGCTTTGGATGCACGTGGCCACTTTTTATGGAGCAGGTTTGGGTTTACGTGTGGAATCAACAGAGCCTGGCACTAGCCAGTGCCTCACGCCCAAAGAAGGATAAAGTCCTGTTGAGAAGCTGGCAGAATGCTTGGGTACGCGCTCGTAAATCTGTCTTCCACCTGTGATCTAGCAGCAACTTCTTTTCTGTAAAATGGTGATGTTGAGACTGAAAATGCAATGTGGGACCCACCGGAAGTTTTTAGATTGCTCTCCCTTTTAGACCCCCCAGAAAGATTATACGTTGAGGAGATTACAAATTTCTACATCTTAGATCTAGCACTGACAAGACTGCATCTGTGTTTAGATGGATAGTGAAAGAACTGCCTAAACGGGGAGGGCACAGGTCATGTGTAATGTTGTACTGTAAAAGCAAGCTTGTTCCTAACTCCAGCTGTCATGGTGTGTGTCATGGTAGGATACATCCTCTCTGCTTTTGGTTATCTGTATTTCATTGAAATTCCTAGGAACTAGTTCCTAATTCACTGAATTTCCTGATAACTTCTGCTAGAATTCATGTAAAATATTTATCTTAATAAGCTTTTTACTGCAGAATGCTACAGATGTTGGTGAGAGCTGCCTTTGCCAGTTGTTACTCAAAATGATCCCACTGATGTTAAGCTTTGCAGGCTTCGTGAATCAACAGAAGCATCTCCCTGTAGGAGACGCTTAACAGAACAATCACGATGTATTTTACAGAGCCTAATCTGGCATAATTGGGTTTCAGATATTTACTGGATCAACGCCCTTCCGCTCCAATAAGGCTAAAACAAAGTTCTCAGAGGAATCCAGCAGATGCTCACTGCTCTGTGACTACCTCATGGAAAACAGGATGCTACTTGCACAACTGTCTTTCCCCAACAATTGCTTTAGGTTTTGACAAGTGGTTGTCATGTCTTTTTTGTTTGTTACTGGATTGGTGTGGTGGCAATAACTTCAGGAAGAGCTCGTGCCATTCCTTTTGTTAATACCTGCTCAATGAGTCTTTCCTAGATATGTATCCTACATAAAACCTGTGATGTGAAACAAGCAGCAGTGTAAAAGATGACAAGGGTTAATACTGAAATACACCGTGGTTGCCAAACATGGTAGTGTGTGTCTAGTTTTCTTTTTCTTGAGTAGTTTTATTTTTATAACTCTCTTAAGCACCTTCAAATTGCTTGTAGCAAGTTGTAATGATCCTTCAATCATTTATTGTTCTGGGCAATACAAAGAATACTAAACTGTTGCAAGATCATTTATGCTGATAATTAGTCGTTGCATGTTCAAATTTATTAAAGCTCTGTTAATCTCTTCCTCCAGATCAATTGCTTGATGAACTGCAGCTGAAATATTTAACGCTTCACACTTACGCCATTGAGGATGGAGCCCAAAGCCAACAATCTCGTTTTCGGGTGTCAGCGAAGCTCAACGTCTGACGATGACTCTGGCTGTGCCTTGGAGGAATATGCCTGGGTCCCCCCGGGCCTCAGACCGGAGCAGGTAACAACTGTACCTCTACATTTTTCAAATAAGCCTTGTAAGGACTCTCTGAGGGAGCGATACGCTGCCTCCAAGAGTCTACGTAAATCCCTATAATGTATGAAACTTAAATTTGTCGAGACCACTTCTTGTTTTGCTTCCTATTCCAATGAGGCTGTGTTTGGGGAGCTTAAAATCCTGAACACCAGGGAGTTTCAAAAAATAGTTCACAGTCAAGATTTTTCAATAAATATGTGCAGCAGAGATATGTATTGTCAAGTCTAAAAGCAGTGTAGAAATTTGCTTCCTCTTTGAAATAAGTTATTAGGTTAAATTAAAGCCCGTTGGCATACCTCGTGGCATTGTGCTACTGGCCAATGCTTCACTGCAGTTGTACAACTCTTTAAATAATTAGGCATTTGACATATAGAACATGTATGTTACTGAAGGGAAGTGTTCTGTCACTGTGACAAGTTGTAATGTATTTTACGCTTGTTTAAATAGTTGTACGCCTGCCATTTGTTCATGCCAGGATTCCTCTTGTGCAGTCTCTGGAGCTGACACTCGTGGGTTGGTTGGACTGTTCCTTCCCCTCTCCCTTTTCTTCTTTATCACCAGAACGGAAATAAACGCAGAGTTACTGATGAGCACGTTGCTGTGGGAGATCACAATGAACCCCTTGGGGTATTCATGTACTTGATGATATTGCAACTGTGCTGAAGCTGTGAGCTCGGTGACAGCCAGAACTTGGGCTTCAGTGTGAAATGGACAGAGCGCCTTTGTAGCATCTGCTAACGGAGGCAGAGCTACCCCCCTTCTGCTGGCAGGCTAATATGGTCCCGAGTTCTAAGGGTGCAGAAGATGTCTCCTTTTCCCTGTGCAGAGATTTTTCTTAATCATGAATAAAGTAAAAAGTCAGCAGGAATGGCAAATAATGGGCTATTTTTAGGGAAACTTTTTATTACTTACTTAAGCATGTATAAGAATCCTGATGAATCAGACCTTAAAGCAAACAGCAAGCTAACATTCTGCCAGAACAATTAAAGGCCCTAAAATATCCTCATAATCCAGCTAGCTCAAACTCACTAACGATTCTTTTTTTTCCAAGAAGAATGACTTATTTTGAGAACAGTGCAATAAACTTGAGAAGAGGGCATAAAGCATCTTGAAAGCCTCACTTCTTACTGCAAGTTGTTATCTTCTCGTGCAGCTTCTTGAAATGCAGTTGGTGGTCAGGGGCCTTACAGCAGACTTGTGATGTTTAAATTTTGGTTAGATGAAGACCAAGTCATATTTCGTGCAACCTTTCCCATATAATTTTGATTGCTTCCTGAGTCAAGTGACTGATTACTGCTTCTTTTTCATCTGTCTTGCACAGTAATAAGCTGTTGACCTGAGCATTATTTAAATCTGGATGGCAAGTAATATTTTTGCCAGTAGTTGGCTCTTATTTACAGCCCCAGGCCTCGTGACAAGCTGGAAGCTGCAAAGGAAAAACTATAAATCTGTAGCTGTTCCACAAAAATATTTTTTGCCATTGGGCTTTGTCATAGTGTTCATTACAGCTTTCCTGTCATAATTTTCTTCTGAAAAAAAAAAAGGGTGAAGATTGATAGATGTGGACACCTAATATTGATTTCTTTATCAAAAACATGCAGCCTGTGAAAATTTCATAGCTAATTTGCATCTGATTGAAACGTGGCTGGATCCAGCCTCCTCCCGAGGGAAGGATGTTTCCACCTTCTTACCAAAGCCGACATGGAAGCAATGAAAGCTGATGCTTTGGGTGAACCTGATCAGCAGGAGACTACAAAACAGCTTTTGTCTCAACAATGTGTAAAATGCAGAGAGCAAATTAAATTTGTTTATATAGCGGCTGTTTTCTGGAAAGCTTCATGCCTTCCTTGTGTGGTAAATTGCAGAGGGAAACTTGGAATTTCCACGGGGTTGTTGACCAGCCCTGAAGGGGGTGGGAATAATGAGAACATTAAATGTGCATAATTTATGATGTCCCCCCCACCCCCCCCTAATTGTCACTGCAAATTGCATTCCAGAAAAGCAATTCAGCAGCTGGGTGCTAGTTTTATCAGAGACAATTCGGGTTTGCTGAGCTGGTTCATCCGGGGCTCGTATTTTCAGCGCAAACCCTGTCACGGCTCTAATGTAGCGTGACCTTCTTCCCTGGTAAACGAGGGCTGAGACACGACGGTAGCTGGAGGAGGTTGGAGGAGGTGTGTGTCTGAAGGCTTTGTGTTCCTCCCGGGCAGGTCCAGCTGTATTTCTCCTGCCTGCCAGACGAGAAGGTCCCGTACGTTAACAGCCCTGGAGAGAAACACCGCATCAAACAGCTTCTCTACCAGCTGCCGCCCCACGACAACGAGGTAAACACAGAATTTAGGACACACTGTCAGAGCCTTTGGGTGGCTTTTAGGTGGAGAATGACCTACCTGTGTGTTCAGGACAGGCCTGAACGGTGGCCTGTGGTGGTGGCATCTGACCTGTGCAGCAGCGCGGTGCGCACACTGCGCCCATTGTTCGGCCGCCCGGTGGGCCGCTGGGCGGATAAGGGCTGTCTGGGAGGACACTGCCTTTGCTTGTCGGGGGGAGGCTGCTGTCGCTGCCATAAACTTAACACAAGTGGGTTTTATAGTGTTTGCAGCCACCCACCAATTACCAGGAGCCTACAAATTCCTGGAATTGCATTGTAGCGCACACACAAAAAAGGGATGCTTTGTGATAGTAAAAGGTTTGCATCTCAGATATGCAGTGTAATTTGGGAGCAGACGTGGAAATAACAAACAAGGCCTTTGTAAGGAAAGGAGGCGGGGGTGTCAATACTTAAGATCTTGTGTGTGCTGCAATACTTAGTGGTGGGCACTTAACCATAAATCTTAAGGACAATGTTGTGGCTGATTTAGGTTCCTTCCATTATTTTAGGGTAGCAGCAGGTTTTGCCTTGGCTTTTTCAAATCTTATTTCTTGTCTAGGCAACTTCTTGGGTTAGAATGGTGGGTTGTTTGTTTTTTTTCCTGTGTACTACTTCTGTATTATGCCATATTAGCTAAATATTAAGATGGTAGAGAAGACAAACTGGCAAAGCTTAATGATGTTTGCCAGCGTGCCTGATGAATTTCTTGCACGTGTGTGCTTACTACGTAACCTGTTACTTTTAAAAGCTCAGTACCTAAAATAAGTTCTCCTGTGTTTTCACTGGAAGGTGAGATACTGCCAGTCTTTAAGTGAAGAAGAAAAGAAGGAGCTGCAGATGTTCAGTTCTCAGCGCAAAAAGGAGGCGCTCGGCCGAGGCACCATCAAGCTGCTCTCGAGAGCGGTGATGCACGCCGTCTGCGAACAGGTAACACGGCTGGTGCCACAAGCCAACCAGTGGGCTGGACAAAACTCCAGTCCATTTCAGTTTTACTGTAGTAAAACTACAGTATCTCAATAGGACATGTAAGCTTATCTCTGTCTGAACACAAAAAAAACAAACCCAAAGGAGTATTTTTTGAAACTGCATGTAAATAGAAAGAAGGTAGTGCTTGCTTAAGCAAGGTACAATCATAGAATCATAGAATGGTTAGGGTTGGAAGAGACCTCAAAGATCATCTAGTTCCAATCCCCCTGCCATGGGCAGGGACACCTCCCACAAGAGCAGGTTGCTCAAGGCCACAATCTTTGATACCAAGAATGAACTGAATCTTTGATATCTTTTCCTACTGAAAAAAAAAGCTGCTGACTCATACTAAAGTAATGACAGATGAAAAATGAACAGATACTTAAGAATGTTATTATGTACAAAAGAAACTTCATGAAAGGTTTCTTGATGCACAGAATTTGTCTAGACCAAAATTGAGACTACTTTTTTCCCCCTTGTCAGAATTTTGGAATAAAAACCTGCATATTGAGTTTGTTGTTTGACTTTAGCTTAAAAGCCAAAAGCTAGTAGTTTGAGGTGGGAAGTCTGTTCACTTACTGCTTTTTTCCCTAGTGTGGTACAAAAGTAAATGGTGGTGAAGTTGCAGTTTTTGCCTCAAGAGCTGGGCCCGGGGTGTGCTGGCATCCCTCGTGTTTCGTGTGCTTCACCTGTAACGAGCTGCTCGTTGACCTTATCTACTTCTACCAAGATGGGAAAATTCACTGCGGCAGACACCACGCTGAACTTCTCAAGCCTCGATGTTCAGCCTGCGATGAGGTAAATAATTCACATTTTACAGTCAATCTACACTCTTGTTCAGTTAACGAACTGCATCACTTGGGTAATTACTAACTTCAGATACATTCCCTTCATAAGTAAGCACTCCGGTGCGTGGCTGTGTTTGAAAGCTGAGAGTGGTCTTTGATTTCTTGTCATATTGACAATATTGCAAGCAACATGATGGTATTTGGAAAGCACATACCTGTTTGTATTTAGAATTGAATCTCGTAGATTGAATTAGAAGAAGGATCTGTACAAATATTCCAAAATACCATCCTGATAGCAGCTTCATTAATTGTTGAGTTCTTAGGTTCTCATTCAATTTTTGGCTTTTAAAAAGTACAGGTTTTCTTAATTCTTTGCTGTTTGAGGAAAGACTAGAATGCCACAGCTGCTATGGGAGATTGTTGTCTCTATCTTTGTATTCAAAAGGCAACTAAATTAAAAATAAATCTAGTGTGTGAACTGCACAAAGAGGATGTTTTGCTCTGAGTCGCAAGGTGAGGCCTTGGCTGCTTTGACTAAAAGTTCACTTTTTATTTCTGAAAAGATCATTTTTGCTGATGAGTGTACGGAAGCTGAGGGTCGCCACTGGCACATGAAGCACTTCTGCTGCCTTGAGTGTGAAACGATCCTGGGTGGACAGAGATACATCATGAAGGACGGGCGACCATTCTGCTGTAACTGTTTTGAGTCCCTCTATGCGGAATACTGCGAGACCTGCGGGGAACACATTGGTAAGGATGTCCTTTCCAAGCATTAAGCTTGCAAATTAAGGGAAAGCCCATTTATGAAATTATTTCACGTTCCAGAAGTAGGGATTCTGCAAGTAATTTTTTAGATAAACCCAAAGCATTGCATTTTCTCCCCTTTGCAGGTGTTGACCACGCTCAGATGACCTATGATGGACAGCACTGGCATGCCACAGAGACTTGCTTTTCTTGCGCTCAGTGCAAGACCTCTTTGCTTGGCTGCCCTTTCCTTCCAAAGCAGGGGCAGATTTACTGTTCAAAAACCTGCAGCTTGGGAGAGGACGTTCATGCCTCCGACTCTTCTGATTCCGCGTTTCAGTCTGCTCGATCCAGGGATTCCAGGAGGAGCGTCCGCATGGGGAAAAGCAGCCGCTCGGCCGACCAGTGCCGCCAGTCTCTCCTCCTGTCCCCGGCCCTCAATTACAAATTCCCTGGCCTGTCAGACAACGCCGATGATACTCTTTCTCGTAAGCTGGAGGACTTAAGCCTTTCAAGGGAAGAGGCGAGCTTTGTCAATGAAGACTTCTGGAAAGGAAGAGTAGAGCAAGAAATGCCTGAGGACCCTGAAGAATGGGCTGAACATGAAGACTACATGACTCAACTTCTTCTGAAGTTCGGCGATAAAAGCCTCTTCCAGCAGCCCGCTGAAGTAGACATTAGATCAAGCGAACACTGGATTTCTGACAGCATGGTCAAGAGCAAGTTGGACTTGAAAAAGAATAATCCCAGCCTAGCAAGTAAGAAGTATCAAGCAGACATGTACTGGGCCCAGTCGCAAGATGGTTTGGGTGACTCTGCCTATGGCAGCCACCCGGGCCCTGCCAGCAGCAGGAAAATCCAGGAGCTAGACATGGAACATGGGGCGTCAGGATACAAGCATGACCAAGCGCCGTGGTATGGAGGTTCACTTGAGTGTTTGTCTGACCTGAAACAGCAAGAACAGAGTGTTCGAGACTCAATGGATTCGTTGGCTTTGTCTAACATAACAGGTAACGGGGGAAAAAAAGACTGGTTTTGATGGAGAGGTCAACCAAAGCATGTGTGGTTGCAGGAACTTTTGGAACCTTTCATAGCTGTGATTTCTAAAAAGCTTTAGTAGCAAGAGATCTGTGAAATGCTTCAGGTAGTTTCCTGATTTGCTTGCAAAAATCTGTAGAAAATCTGAAAGGATGATGGTAACCTTCGTAGCCTTAGGAAATGGAGGGTTATGAGATTATCTTTCTCCATTGACTAATGAGAAACTGATCATCATCCACTTCTGTGAACCTCCTTGTCAAACGTGACTGAAATTAGCCAAAGGGATAAAAGTCAGAGATGTAAGGGTCCCTCTGTGCGTGCATGTGTGTCTCTTAACCTTTCTTTCCTGTTTTAAAAGTTGTCCTCTCCTCTTCTACACTCTTTCCCTTCTGTAACCCAAATTATTGTAGCTACACTAATGAAGGAACTGATGAGGGGAGCTTGGTTTGGGGGGGGGCGGGGAGACGGGACGGGATGGGAGGAGGAAGAACTGGAGGTGTTGCACCTGGGAAGGTCACAGGGTAGATAACTCTGTTGTTGTGGGAATGAAGGGCCATTGGACACAGACCTGGAGTAAAGCTGCCCAGCTTACTGCTGGTGATTTTTGGAGGGTGAGGATCCTTCTTTGTGAGGCAGTTAAGAACTGGCTTTCCTGTCGCAACAGCTGGAATATTGAATTTAGCGATACCAGAAACATGAAATATTTTAGCCTTAAAAATGACAAGCATGGACTGAAGAATAATTTTAAGTAATTCTTTTTTCCAAGAGGCCTAGCTCTAAAATTTTTAACTCATTACACTTCTTCCGCTCTTGATGTCCAAATGTTAGCTAATTCCTTGACAATCAGAGCTAATATTTAAATATTTTAAGTCAAAACGAAACTTATTCTTCTATGAAGCTACTCCTTTTGGTGACAGTTATAAAAAAAACATGAATAAGGTCTGCTGTACTGGAAAGAAATATTTAATATTGTTATAATACTTATCTCTTTGATAGTCCCCTCATTTTCTTTTCCTCCTTTCTCCATTCCCACCACAGGGGCTTCGATGGATGGAGAAGGCAAACCACGGCCATCTCTCTACTCTTTGCAAACTTTCCAAGAGCTGGAGGTAGAGGACTGTGAGAAAATGAGCAACATGGGAACCCTGAATTCTTCAATGCTCCACCGGAGCACAGAGTCCTTGAAGAGCCTGAGCTCAGAGTTGTGTCAGGAAAAGGTCTTGCCAGAGGAAAAGCCAGTGCATGTGCCCGTTCTGAGAAGATCTAAATCCCAGTCTCGACCGCAGCAAGTGAAGTTTTCAGATGATGTTATTGATAATGGGAGTTACGAGAACGTTGAAATACGGCAGCCCCCCATGAGTGAAAGGACTCGTAGGCGCGTTTACCATTTTGAAGAGCGTGGCAATCGGCCTTCCCACCATCGCAGAAGAAGTAGGAAGTCTCGTTCAGATAATGCACTTAACTTGGCCGCAGAAAGAAGATGCTCTCCCAGGGAGAGATTTCGTTATTACTCCCCTCAGGATCATGAGAAATTTATTCAAAATAGAAGCTCACGTGAGATTCGGGCATACATTCAAAACGCGGAGCTGTATGGACCATATGCCCATACGAGGTCCGATTACGCACTGCGCAACCAGATGGTTGACAAATTTTTTGGGTTGTACGGTGAGGAAGATGACTCCTGGTGCTCGACTTCATCCTCATCATCCGATTCTGAAGAGGAAGGGTATTTTCTAGGACAGCCCATCCCCCAGCCACGGTCCCTGAGATACCCATACTACACAGATGACCTTTCTAGTCCAACTACTGCGTTATCATCTAGTTCTCAGTTTGGACAAAGGACAACCAAATCAAAGAAGAAGAGGGGACACAAAGGAAAAAATTGCATCATTTCTTAATTTGTTTTAACGCTCGGGAAGACCAGTCAACTCCATAGCTACAGTCTGAACCACGTCTTTTTATATTAATAATTGTACTTAGGCAAGTTGCTGAGGTTCTTAATGCTTTGCCAGTGTAAATGATAACCCTGCCAGAGTTTACATTGTACAAGTAACATTCGGAAATGTCCCCGTGCCAAATGATGACCCGCTCAGATATTGCTGGGTTTACAAACTATCTTTCAGCTGTCAAAAGGCAGTTACTGCAGTTCTTGACACAGACTTTTTGTAGGCGTTTTATTTTACGCTCTCTCCTCGCCTGTGCTGAATTATCTCAGAGGGGGGGTTCAACAAAGATCAGTAAATACAGTTGAGGGTCCTGTGCCGTAGCTCTACCCGCACAAGGTGATCTTTGACTTTTTCCTCTTACCGTCAGGAAAAAGAAGGCTCTGTTCTGTGCCCTTTCTCCATTGGCAAAGCTCACTCTTCCTCTTTTAAGTTTCCTTACAAAAAACTGGATTTTGGTGGGTTTTTTTTTCTTAAATCTGGAAAAACACTCCTTTTCCAAAGAGTCCACTGTTAAGGAGGCTTGAGGCCTTGATGTATCCTAAGGAGGCGGTAAATGGTTTATACATTGAATTTCCATGTTCTTCCCTCCACAGTTTTTTAAGAATTCCCTGCCTCTGTAAGGGTTTAGGGGTTTTTTTAATGCCTGTTTTAAGGAAGATATTAGTTCAGCTGCTGGAATTGGGACTTGGCTGCCAATGAGTGATGATGCCAGCAGTGAGCGAGAGGGAGAGCGGCGGCGGTGGCCTTTGCTCGGGCACGTAACCCCCCATTTAAGTCAATGAATCTACTTACGTAACGAATACTTTCATAAGGGCTTAAAGGATTAGGCTCCAGAATCACGTCTTTGCAAATGCATTATCCAGGTTTTAAAAATGTATTCGCTGCAATTCTAAATAAATAAAAAAACCACATTGATATTTATAATGTAGTATTTCATAGGCTTAAATGTATTCATAATTTAACAGTGCAAATACTAATGTACATATTGTACAGTTAAAATTTTAAAAGCTGAATATTTTTATATCCCTGAATTTGAAGAAGTTTGTTACAATATCAAACTAGATTTGTTAGGGGTTTAACAGCAGCATTATGGATGAAAAATTGCTTGTATTTTAGTCAGGGGTTTTAAGTCGAAAAATACTGAAAAATGTTTAGTGCAAAACCAGCTTAATTTTGTCTACTAGGTATGAAAAGCTCTGTATGCATGGTGGGGCTATGTAAATACTCTCTAAACTATGGCCCTCTTAATCTTGCAAGTGTTATTTATGGGTCAAGCAAAATGTAAACTATATAAATGTAAAAACCACGCAAGCCTGGAATATATCAGTACAACAAATATGCAACTCCTGTGGATGTGGATTTATTTTTTTTAATTCTTGTTACTGTTCCCTACGTTTCCCAAAAATAGTTTCTGAATTTTGCCTACATCAGGAAGGAGAGATGCTGGGTGGCTGTAGAAGGCAAACTGGTGAAAAACCATAAAGCAACAGGTGATCTCAAAAGGTGCCTTGAACTCTTACGTGGAGCAGGAGTTATTTTAAGTTCTAATAAACTTTTCCTGCGGTTTTAAATAAAGGGCAGAAATTTCTTAGCTGAATTAACAGTGACATCCAGCAATTAAGGTGGTAGATGCTAAAGCCATTGGCTTTCTGACCACCTGAGGAAAGGGAATTCATGAAATAACAGATGCGTCTTACCAAAAAAGCCTGGCAAATGGAGCTGCGTTTGCCCTTCTGGAGGATATAGAAGTTTGGAAATAAAAGCAGCAAGAAGGGAGGGAGGGAAGGAGCATGTGAGTGTTGGCTTACACCAAAGAAAATGAAGCTATTGCTGAGGCTAAATCAAACCAGCAGTTACTTGCTGGTATTTTCCAGGGTAAAATAAGCAAAAGCTCCTTTACTCCCAGCGGTGGTATTCACCGTATAAGTCACTTTCTAGTACAAACAAGTCCTGTGTGTGTGAACGCTGATCAAAGCCCTGTCGTGCTGCGTGGCCTGGGCCCACGGGCGGCGGGTGGGAGGCTTCCAGCTGGCGGGCTGCCCCCGCAGCTGCCGGCAGCCAGAGGCCTGCTCTGCTGCAGCAGAGGGCAGAAACCAGGCTGCCGGGACCCTGGGGAGATGCCACCTGGTTGATGCACTCCCCGGAAGGCTCAAACAACGATTGGGACCTTCCGTTCTTACCTGCGTTTCCAAATATGGGGAACCAGGAGCCTTGGAAATGAAATACTGTGCTGCCGCTGCTGTGTCCTTCTTGGAGCAAGTAACTCTCTCATGGAGACGTGTCTCCACCGGTAGTTCTTCTGATCTTACACCGTCTCCTGCGATACAGCATACGTGCTCTCCCAAGGCGCAGCAACTTACAGAGCATTAGAGGATAGAAGTTCTCCATAGATTGTTAGTTGCTTCTAAATACTTTATTCTTAAAAAAAACAAACCAGCTATTCAACACAGAATGATACGGGGTTGGAAGGGACCACTGGAGATCATCTAGCCCACCTACAGCAGGCTGCACAGGAACATGTCCAGGCAGCTTTTGAATGTCTCCAGAGATGGAGACTCCATCACCTCCCTGGGCAGCCTGTTCCAGTGCTCTGCCACCCTCAAAAGTGAAGATGTTCTGTGCTGGGCTGCAGGACCACGAGTAATTAAGAGCATTAGGGAACACTCAGAAAGCTTTGTTTTGCTGAGGACTGGACGGCTACAGGAGACATTAACATCAGGAGAAGAGTAACAGCTACTTGTAACCACACTTAATGAAAGAGGAGCTGACTTCTATTTTTATCCACTTAAAAAATTCCACACTAAATTTAAAGATGGCTACACAACTTTAGCTTTTCCAGCTTGACATAAACGATCTCTACTTCATTATTTTTCACCGCTTTATGGTGGTGAAAAACTCTAATATAACATTATTATGAGGAATGTTTCTAATTGGTTCTTCCACCTAAAATATCCAGTGACTGGTATGGGGTGTAGTGTCTGGTACCAGCACAGGACTTGGATCCAGCCACCAAAGCTGCGAATCCCGATTTTTGCTATGAGAAGTAGCACCTCTATTCCAAGTGGAGCTTGTGTCCTGGTGGGCACCTAAGCGTCACACAGCAGCCACTCACTAGCCCCCAGCGGGATGGGGGAGAGAATCAGAAGGGTCAAAGACCCAAAACTCACCGGTTGAGAGACAGACAGTTTAGTAATTGGGAAAAAAAGCAAAACAACCCCAACAACCAACCACAAAAACCCCAAACAGAAAATTCCAAGATGATACAAAAGAACCCCCCAGTTGCTCAGCTCCAGCTGACCAACACCCAGCCAGTCCCTGAACAACAGCAGCCTTCCCCCAGCAAACTTCCACCAACATTATGGCTGAGCACGACACAATATGGGCTGGGACATCCCTCTGATCACTTGGGGGACAGCTGTCCCACCGGTGTCCCCTCCCAACCTCTTACCCACTCGCTGGCGGGGTGGGGTGAGAAGCCCTGCTCAGCAGTAACTAAACCATCTCTCCCTTAGCAACACAAATCCATCAGGAACCCGAAGCACAGCACCAGCACCTCCATACCAGCTACTACAACGAAATCCCAGCCAAATCCAGTACAACCTTCATGAGAGGGGTATTGGGGCTACACAGTAGCCTCACCCTCAGCAAAGGAGAAAATCCTACACAGGACCTTGTCTGGTCTTCTCCAATACAGGGCATTTGCTCCTCTCATACCTGCAATGGTTTTATTGCTGATTTTCACCCCAGCTGCTTGTGTTGTCCCTCAGCTCACCCAGGGAGGTTACGGAGCTTTCCAGAACCGCTCCAGCCTTGGCAGAGAGCACTGAACCTCCACGCTCCTTTCCTTCCTTCTTCTCTTTATTCTTTCAAGCGTATCCGCACACCAATAAGTGCTAGGAATAAGTTTTGTTCTCAGGAACTCTTACAGGGACGAAGAAAATAAATTCCTCCAGCACAACATCTGGTTCCTTCCACCAATGCTCCTGCTCTCCCTTCCCCAGGAGCCCCATCGAGGCTGCCCACAAGACCAAGGACAACTTCTGACACTGATAAGACATTAATCTGAAGTGTAAGTTTGTTTCTACAGGAAGCAAGACTAAAAGCCAGGTTTTTTCCTTAAATTAAGGGATTGGCATAATAGTTTACTTACATCACAGCAAGCAGACATCACAAAAGGTTAAATGGGAACATTCAACATAATGACAAGTATTAAATGGAAAACCAGTTACCTATCGCTCATTACTGGGAATTAAACCTTTCCCAGAAGTAGCACTTATAAAAAAATTCAAAAGGCTCCTTAGTTCATGAGTAAAATTTAATCCATAGAACAGAAAAGTCAGGTTAAGCTAGGGACAACCTAACAAGCTTTTTAAAGACCTTCCTTACCTATGAGCTAATCTAAAAAAATCCAAAAATACTGGCTGATGGGTCAGGCTCAAAGAATCACAGTAAGTTGGGGTCACATCAGGCTGGTGGCCAGTCACCAGTGGGGTTCCCCAGGCCTCAGTTTTAGGGCCAATGCTCTTTAATATTTTTATAAATTACACAGACACAGGAGTTAAATGTACATGAAGTAAGTTTGCCAATGATACTGAATAAGGAGGAGCCGTGGACTCCCTCGAAGAGTCCTTGCTGAGAGATCTAGACAGACTGGAGAGCTGGGCAACCACCAACAGTATGAAGTTCAACAAAAGCAAGTGCCAGGTTCTCCACCTGGGACGGGGTAATCCTGTTTATACCTACAAACTGGGGGACAAGCGGCTGGAGAGCAGCCCCATGAAAAGAGATCTGGGGGTTTGGGTTGATGGGAAGTTGAACATGAGGCAACAGCGTGCCCTGGCAGCCAAAAGGGCCAACCATGTCCGGGGTGCATCAAGCACAGCATCGCTGGCTGGTTGAAGGTGATTGTCCTGCCCCACACCACTGTGTGCAGTTTTGGGTGCCTCAATACAAGAAGGAGATCAAACTATTGGAGTGTGTCCAGAGAAGGGTGACCAAGATGGTGAAAGTTTTTGAGGGCAAGACTTACGAGGAGCGGTTGAGGTCACTTGGCTTGTTCAGCCTGGAGAAGAGAAGGTTGAGGGATGACCTCATTGCAGTCACTGCCTTCTTCACAGGGGTCAGAGGGACCGGAGGTGCTGATCTCCTCTCTCTGGTGACCAGCAACAGGACACAAGAAAATAGAAAAGCTGTGCCAGGGTAAGTTCAGGTTGGACATCAGGAACAGGTTCTTCACCGAGAGGGTGGTCAGTCAGTGGAACAGGCTCCCCAGGGAACTGGTCACGGCCCAAAGCTTGGCAGAGTTCACGGAGGATCTGCACAATGCTCTTACCTATATAATTTAGTTTTAGGCAGTCCTGTGAGAAGCAGGGAGTTAGACTCAATGGTCCTTATTATGGGTCCCTTCCAACTTGAGATATACCCCTTTCCAACTCTGATTGCAAGCTTAGGCCTTACTTCACAGAAAAACACTTGAAAAATCAGATACTTTTATCATAGCAAATTTAATCAGTCTTCTAACAAAGGAGAATTCCTAATAAACTGTACAGTTACAATGAACATTTTTAATCAAAAATATATTAAGCATGATCTCAGTATTATTTTCATTAGCATTTCTAACCCAGAAGCAGAAACTCTGATGTGGCAGCCTGAAGGCCCTCGGCCCGTGGGCGCGTGGGGAACCGCTGTAGCGCCCCAGGGAAGCCTTTGCCCGTGGTTTCATGACTGATCCCAGTGAAACAGGCTGTTGCCAGAAGGGGTGGGTCAGGTCTAGCTGCTGGTTGCCACAACAGGCTCCCTCTCTCCCCCTCTCTCCCTCTCCAAATTAGCATCCTGTAGCATCCCTGAGCTGCTTCCCACCCCCTCTGCAGCCCACACAATCCCAGGAGCCAACAAGGTAAGCAGGAGGTCATCTCCTTCCAGTAACGTGAACTCTCAGGAAGCAACAAAAGCCAACTGCAAAACCACACCCTACTGACATTAGAACTAATCAGGCATTTCAGGAATCTGATGTAACACATATTTAATATACCATAGTTCATATTTGCATGTGTAAGATGCTGCGATACATACAGTGCCTTGTACATGCAAAATGAGGGCTATTTCATTTAGTTTTCTGCAAACCATCCTGATGGAATCTGAGAAGAAGCAGAATCTTGGTAAGGGGTTTGAATGCACCAACCTTTTCATTTCAAAATACTGTGGACTTTGGAAGCAGCAAGCTTTACTCAATAGTCCTTTTGCAGAGTTTCACATGTTTCTAAATGCAAATGTATACAAAACAATCATGCCTATACTTACCTCTTTGTGGTTATGACTCAAATTATCCCTTTCCTAAAACATTCGTAAAAAACATTCACAATTAAATATAAAGCTGTACACAATCCAATAGTCAGGATACCGCCAACGAGTCCTAAATATCTTTCATCTCTGAAAAGCAATCATGAAGCACGGGCAGCTTCTCAGCTCTCCTCCACTATGTTCCCCAACTATGAGTCGCTCCGTCAGGTCCAAAAATGACATTATGCAGCAATGTCACCAAGGTTGGAAACAATGATGAATTTGGGGCCTTTGGGCTCAATTTCATGTTACACCTAATTCAAAGAAACTTGGATTTCATAAAGATCCAGTCCTGCTTGCTTTCCTTGCCCCACTTTGCCACCTCAAAATCCCAGCTCCTTCTTGATGTTGGATGTAAAGGTTACACGCAGCCTCTTAATTATCAAAACTGATGGATGAAAAGTGGTGGGAAGGGGTAAGGGGAGAGAGGCAGAGAGTAAGAGAAGGGACCTTTCCCTGCTCAGTGGCTGCCGGCAGTTACACTCTGTTAAGGTATAGTTAAAAACGTAACAAAGGAATCATTTAGTTGCAAATATTAACAAAAAATGAAATTAATCCCACATAATACTGCTCACTAGCAATGACTCATGATATGGAAAACATCACAATTTAGAAGGCATTTGTAGAACCTACATTTTGAGCAAAAATACAGCATTTCGAGTTGCTCTGGTAGTCAGGGACTAGAGGTAACCCCTAGTGGGATTTTACAGAATGAATCTGAAGTTTACAATTAAACTAGAATAAATAATTTAAATCTTTTAAATTGCGAACAATTTTCTGCAAGTCTTCCCTTCCTATTGCATATATGAAAACAAGACATATTTCTGCATAAGTTGAGGAATGAAGAGCTGCTTCTTGTTATTTTAATAAAAAATACAAGTATTTGAAGTTACACTTATAAACATCGAAACATAAGTGTACGTACATCAGCCTGAACGTTTTTTTCCTAGGTAACCATGGAAAAGTTTCAAAAATAGCTTGTCACTTTACAGCATTTTTGAAAAGAAACATCCTTTCAAAGGAATATACGCCAACAAGTACAGGTAGAAGAATACAAATGGGGAGACCACAGTGAGCCAGATGCGGCCACCTGAGCTACTACAAAGGAGCACGGGCCTTGGGTTCCAATCTCCAGCAGGATCTTCTCTTTCCCCGCAACAAAAAAACAGAGCAGATTTATGTATTATGGCATAGGCAATGCAGAGGATCTAAAAGCACACGCTTGTCCTTAGTATGAGCCCTCCTTGTAGGATTCTGATAGGTCTTGATGGGCAGCATCATACTGAGCAATGAAATTTTTGAGTTCTTCAATGCATCTCTCACCTATTTCATGCAAATTCTGCCTCAGGGCAAACTGAATGGACTTCTCTAGTGACGGATCTTTATCAATCAGCATCTTCACTACCATGCCAAAGGTTTCACAGTCTTGTCTGTAGACCTAGAAACAACACATTTTAGAAAAAGATTAAACACACAGCTCTTTACGTTAGTTCATAGCTCACTGAGTTAGGTGCTGCTGCAGACCCAAACCAAACAAAGAATATCAGATTTAAGGCAAGTTTCAACTGTAAGAGGCATTTGCCTCTTCCTCTCCTCTGACCTGTGCTAATATAAATGTAAATAGTTCAGAACTATCTGGACACAAAATATAATTCTTATTGGAAGAAATGCCTTAAAAAGAGCTACCAAGTTCCTCTTGCAGCAATATTTAATGAATAATGGCAAAGTGCAAATGCTAAACCAGATTTTCATTGCAAACATATGTAAAATTGATTATGTCACATCTAGCAGCCTCAATCTTTATACAATAAAAGCACCAATAACTTAGTTTGTAATCTTTCCTAATACTTGAAATACAAGTTGTGTTTAAGTAATTTCATGAATGATGTTTGTTTGTTGGATATCTGTATCTCAGAGAAGTCCTTGACAAATATGTCTTGAATTAGTTTGACTGAATTGGTGATTCAGCCACTAAGGATAAGAGAAATCCTGGTTTATATGAACCCGTCTGACCTCGTACAGTCAGGAATGAAGAGTCTGCAAGTCAGTTGTGCACCACAGTTCAGTTGTAGCCTACATCTGAGTAGGCTCTAAGGTGGCTTTCAAAGTGAGTCAGTGGCCTTTCAAACCTTTTTTTTTTTTTTTTTTTTCAGATTCCAACTAAGGTTATTAATCTAAACACCCATCAAAAAAGGAACTTGTCAAAGTCTCCCAGCTGCCAGACACAGTTCATTTGCACACCTCTTAGGCCAATTTCCATGTAGAAAATGCACTGGCTTTCTGAATGAAGATAAGTCAGTTTTGTACCTCTGTACATTTTTTTAGGATTAAAAAAAAAAAAGCTAAAATGTTGATATCCCCCGAAGTATGATTATCTTTTAGTATTGTGTGCTTCTGTTAGAAATTGTTTTGTTACAGAAATGTGTGACCCCCTCTTCCCACATTTATCTGTTTTGTGGACACAAGTGATACAACTGTATAATGCCCAAAGCAAACCAAAAACCCCCAAACAGCAGCATCCCTGAGGATAACTCAAGAATATTCACGTCAGAGAAGCAGCAAAAAAAAGCCCAAAACATTCTGCACACAAATTAAACTATTCTCAGAAACACAATGATTTAACACGATACTTTAAATAAAGCCAGTTCTTAAATGTTTGGTAGTATATTCTATACTAGTAGGTTAAAACGAGACCTACTTTTCAAACACTGGTTGGCAAATAACTGAAAGCCTTTTGGAAGAAACTGATTTGCAATAGAGATTAAGAAGTCAAAGAGTAGAGTTCAGTCCAAGCCAAACTGAAGCAAAACACCTTAAGCGTGGAAATGGAGCGCACGTGGCATTTTTTTGCTGAGAGGGGGTTTGTTTCCTGCTTTGTATGTTTAGTTCTTTGGTAGTAAAATACCAGCATGAAACCCAGACTCTCAGAGTTCATGTTCCACAGCAAGTGAAACACGGTACTTGCTCAGAGAACTTCAAACAGAGCAAAATTGGGTTTCTTTTTCTTTTTTTTTCTTTTTTTTTTTTTCTGACTCTTTCCAAGGCAAAAGCTCAGGAAGAATTGCTGTCTCTGATTAGCCAGATGACAGACAGATGGTATTTCACTTTGGATAACTCCTGCCTTTCAAGTACTTGCAGCGTGCTTGCTAGCACCTTCACAGAATCGTTTCTGAAAGGTTTTTTTCTCCCCAGAGCCATTATGTATCAGGGGAAATAGTTGAAAAAAATTTTTTTTTCCTTATTACATGTCTATTTGTCCTATTTTATCACCTTTGAAGTGGTCAGACCAAGGATGTGTGAATGATCTTCCCCAGGTGAACAAAGCTGGTAGAGGATGCTGTGCAACACCGGCACCAACGAAACCCTGACCCTAACAGAGAACACAGACACATCACCCCGTCTTCTGCACGGGGAGGCACCCAAAGCTACAGCTAAAGGAAATGCTCTACTTTTAATTGGTCTTCAAATTAATGGCAAATAGCGCTATCTGCTATTTCTCTCACACACCACAAAGAACTAACCCAGATGAAATTCTCTGACCCTTCGCATATAAATATTGGCTCAATCTAAGCACATTTTTCTACAAAACTTTCACAAAAGAAGACTTGGAGGAGCCTCAAGAGCCATCGTTGTTGCTGCATCTGGAGTCAGAAGTCACTTGGCTGTCACAACAATCTGGAAACTAAACATTTTCATACATGAGGTGAACGTTTTCAATCCTTCCTGACAACAGACTTTTCAGAAAAAAAATAAAATAGAATTGACCTAAAATAGGGGAAGAGGGCGAAGGTGGAGCAGGAAGGCAGTTCTACCAACAGAAAACAAAGGAAACGGCTCAGCTCCTCTAACAACAATTGAGCAATTTTCCCTCCCCAAGGCTTCTGCCCCAGCTGCTAATGCTGATCCTCCCGATGCAATCCGCCTCCTCCTCCTCAATTGTGCTGCTAAACCTATTTGTATAGCTGCGACGTAAATTGCATCACCGAGATGATCCCTTTTAAAATTACTTCCCCCCCCAATTAAAATGATTCAGTCAGGCAATTCTAAAACCAGATGCATCAGCACAACTGAAGGAACCGTGAGCCATACTCGTCAAGTGGAAATAACTTCATAAACCAGTTTATATCCAAAGCCAGTGCACAACTACCAATCCTAGAAGTTACTACGCTTTGCTGAAGGGAGTAGAGACTATCAATTACAGAAGAGCATCAATTACATCTTAATCAACTATTTGAAAAAACATACAATCAATGATTTGAAAAAAATTGTGAAAGCACTCAAAGCTCTTGAAAAAAAGGAGATGGTGGCATGGCATGTTAAAAATCCACAGATTCTCCACAGAAGAGGTGGCAGCTATTTCTAGAAAATCAGCAGAGAAAGCGATGCTTAAGGAAGAAAGAAAACCACAGAAAAGATTCCAAACAAGCAAAAAAGCTCTCTGTTGGGAAAGAATTCTGGAAGAACTTGTGACCCAACAAGGTTTGAAAATATCCCTAGCTTTAAAATTCCAGCTGATATTGATTTTGAGCTCAGACCACGGAAAGCTCATCTGTAAACATCTGGAACTAAAAACTGAAAATGATTCCATGTGTGGAGAAAGAAGAAATAATGCTTTTATATTGAAAAACAAGAAAGGGAATGATACAAACGACATGATTATTCTGTCTGATATATACATCAGGTAATCCTGAAAACAGCTAAAGCCATAGGGTGATCATTTACCAAAGCCATAGCATGCTTTTATTCTCTGACCTAAGCTACAGCACCAGCATAATGGAAAGAACGTGTAACACTTTAGTAAGCAGATGAAGGAGAAGCAGAAACAGCTGTTCTATTCCCAGATATATAAATATATTTATATTTAGTTTATATACACACAATATATATATAGTCTTGGTTTTCCTACAAATGAGAAGTATATAGGCTGAAATCAGGTTGCCTTTGAAGAATTTTCCAAAATCAGCACATCTGGCATCTGTGAGGTCAAAGGATCACAAATATGCCTACTTTTGTATTACTCATGGCATTTTTGCTCTTTTTATTCTTACATGATAATAGCATAGAAGCTCTAGCTGAGGTCAGCTCTTCCCTGTGCCAGTCTCTGTGCACGCATTTAGGCTTTGTCTACACACAAATCTAAAAGTGTGATGCACCTGCAACATATTAGTGAACACTTCTCATATATTTGAGAAAACTAAACCAAAACTTGCACTTAGAACTGTTTAAATATAGCCAATAGACATTTACTTCCAGATCTAGCTGCAGTAGAACAGATTTTAGTCCCTCAGGTTGGAGGTGATCACACCCTAGAACTCACCAGGTACAATAAAACTTCTGAGAACTCCCTAATCTGCATCTCTGCAAGTTTTCACAGCTCAAGGTGCCATCAACAGTGACATAAATTATAATGTATGACACTGACATGGAAGAGATGAAGGATGCCATGTGCTCTTCTCCCAGCTCAGCTTTGGGACATTAAACTCTGACGGGGAGGAAAAAGGGGCAGAAGCAAGCACGTCAGGACTGCTCATTTCTTAGATGGCTGTATCCCTCCTCCAATTACAATCTAAAACTGGTCTTGGCTTAAACCAAAGAAAACATATTGAATTGCTCAGCTGATGGGTGGAAAACACCATCACCTAAACTTTGTTGTCCATCTGAATTCTGGATGAAATTATACTCAACTAAGGAATACCTTGGTGACATGTCTACTACTCACTGACAAAGCCCAGATCACTTCCTCTCTCTGCCTAGCACAGCCTCATGTTCTTCTCCAAAACTGTTCCAGTGTTTGTTGCCCATGTATTTTGCATAACAGAACTGTTGGACAACACCAACAGTAATGAGAAAAAAACATAGAAATTAAGATGTCCTCCCCTGAAAGTGACTAGAGTCTGCAGAAAAGTCAAAAACTTTGTCATCCTGGTCTCAAAATCTTGTATACCTGGCCAAAAAGCAGCTTCATTTCAACAGCAAAAGTAGACCCAATATTCAAAGAAACAGTTAAGTTAAAATGGAGATACTTGCAACACTTATCTCAAATCATAGTGGTTTCCTCAACCTAGATCTACAGTCTGTGCAAAGAAAGGTTTTTTAACCTCTCAAGGTTCTCTCAGAACAGCTAAAACTACAGCTTCTGCTCTAAGCAGCCTTTGAAGAAGAGGAAAACGAGAGAAGTTCCCTGATAATTGGAAAACTCTCAGGAAGTCTGGTCCCACCAGGCTACAAGCTAGACTCTGTACCTCCCACATCCACAGCTGGTAGAAAGCACAAATGAGTAGCAAACGGGAGGTATAAGTTTATCTTCTCCATCTCAGAAAGGACTCAACTGAATCTTCACTTCCTATTTCTGGGAGACTTGTTCTGTTGAATGTGCTTTATTTTATATAAAGGTAGGCAAAATTAACTATCTCCTCCAGCTATGGTTTTGAATGAATA